TCTAACTTTCCAACTCAGAAAAACGAAAAACGAAAAAGTGCCAAAAGTCTTCTCACATGGCTGAGCTGCTTTGCAATATACGTCACCACTGAAGAATACAAATATGTATAAAGTAAACTATGATGCAATCTAACTTTCCAACTCAGAAAAATGATAAAGAGCATGAACAAAGAACATGTAAAAACAAATGCAAAATTTGCACAATCTAAAATGAGAAACTGTAACTGCAAGTAACAAAGTCTGAGCCATGGTAAAGAGTTACATTGAACACCAAGCTGATCAGATAACTCCCTGGTTGGTGTGAAGTCCTTCTATCTCCAGGATCTGTACAAATCGGCACATTATGCCAAAAGTCTTCTCACTGGGTGAGCTGCTTTGCAATATACTTCACATTGTTAGAAAAGGCTCCAGAAGGCCTTGGGGACATCAGTATCAGGGGCTGGAGCTGGACAGGCTCTTTCATCAGCACTTCTCCTTCCCTTTGCCAGCCAGGACCTCACATACTGTTCCGGATTGAACTGTCCTAGTGATGGTCCATTACATTTAATGAAAACCAGGCTGGACAGTCGGCTGACAGAGAGAGCATTCCTTTTTGCAGTAAGGATATCGTTCATGCAGCTGAATGCCCGCTCACACTCACTAGTGGAGACAGCGATGGTTCGGACTGCTTTCAGTAGAGGCTCCATGGCAGCAGGTGTATGGGATGCCCTGGTTTCCTTGTATTCGCGAAAGCCCTGAACAGTCTCTCTTCTGTCCACTTTCAGCACTTCGCACAAACGTAGCACCTCTACGTCCCCATACTGTACGTCTAACTCCTCTTCAGGCCAACTTCCAGGATGGATAACTTTCATGTCCTGGATTAGCTGATTGTCCCGGGCCTCCCGGCCATGTAATGGGATTTCTCTTGTGCTGACATGAGAGGAGGTTGTGGAAGTCATTCTGTGTCTCAGATTCTCTACCATACTGCGGAAAAACTGACCTGCATGAATCTGTACAAGCCTGCCATTCTCACGCAGGGCAACACCCTTGAAGGACTTCTCAGCTAGAGCTGTATGAACTGTAGTCATGTGTGGGCCAGGCATGGTGACCATGGATTCAAAAACTCGTATTTCTCGAGTTAAGAGCCTATCTGCTGTAGGCAGTGTCATCTCTCTTTTTTGGAGTTGCCGAGAGAGGTCGCTGAGCTCTGTGAGCGCATCGTACATCAGTCCCAGATTGCTGACAAACGTTGCAGATGTGAGCACATCATCCAGGCCCTTGTACTTTGCTCTGTCTCTGGAATCCCTGCTCGTGTCGTTTGCAGCATTTGTGAAGTGATCATGAAGCACTCGGTAGTTTTCCCAGACTGCTCTGACGCTCCTTTCACTTGAAGCCACCCAGCGGATGGACAAAACACGCCCTATCACCAGGAGACGCTGTCCGACTGCTTGCGCACACTGCGCTAACTGCCTCTGATTTTTGGGGGAGGCATGGAACAAGGAATAGAGTTTGTCAAAAAAGATCTGGAAATGATTGAGCCCTGAGACCTCCTTGACCACATCCCCAACTGCCAGCTCTAGACGATGATTGGAGCAGTGCCACACAAACAGGCTTGGGAATTTACTACACAACTGGGTAGCAACGCCTGTTCTCTTCCCTAGCATGACTGAAGCCCCATCACATGCAAAAGAAACGAAACACTGACCTAAAAAGTCCTCGTTAAAATCTCTTCCAAGACACTCCATTAACGCCTTTGTGATGTCATCAGCCGTTGTTCCATCCAACTCGATCAGCTCCCAAAAAAACGTTTCGGGCTCAGCATCAGCTAATGCTGAGCGTAGACACACAACAAGCACCGTTTTACCACTAATAGTGGTAGATTCATCGACCAAAACACAGAGTTTTCTTTGGTTTTCTGTAATGTCTTTTGCCATTTTTTTTCTTCAGCTCATAAGCTATGTGGTCGATGATTTCGCCACAGGTTTTATTGGAGTGCAAAACCCTGCCCACGTTCAGCCCATTCAGTTTCTGTACATTCAAATCAATTGGCATGTCTGTGAATGGCCGGCTATATTTGCCAATTTTATATGCCGTTCGAAAAACTCTGATAGTGGTGTCTAATTCAGATTTATGCATAGACTGCACTTGATGTTGAATAGTTTCACGTGAAGCAGATGTAAGGATGTCAGCAGCTTTTACATGGGCTTGTGATTCTTTATGTTCTTTGATTTTTTTTCTCAGGCTAGCTTGTTGTTTGCCCTTGTCAACACCGAAATGAGACACTGCACACTCACCCCATTCAGTTGACAGTTTCAGTCCTTGTCCAGTGTGTATTCCCAAAGATTTGACATCTCTGCATATCCGACATCCTAGCTTCTTATCTTTAAGAAGGAGCCATGCATTGGTCTTGCAAAAATATTGCACCTGGTCCGTTGTCCAGCAGTCAGGTGCATCGCTTTGCCCGGTGTTGGTGGTGGCAGTTGCGCCAGCAGCAGCTAACGTTAGAGGCTCTGGAGGAGGCGGCGGAGCTAGTGCTAATGCTAATGCACTAGAACTTGGAGCAGGAGGATCAACCAAAGAAAGCTCCCCATCAGACACAATTTCCAACACAGGCACAGCATTCTCTGTATTTGAAGTTTCTTCCGGCGACAACCGCTGTCTTTTTGCACTTTTATTAATCCACGCTAACATTTTAGAAATGCTAATTTGTGACGTGACTTGCTTTCCTTCTCTCGGGGGCGTGCCTGCTCTGTTCTATCACTCTACATAGCCACCCACTGGGTGGGAGTTGCACTGCATAAACACAACACACGTGCATCTAGGTATGTAAATTGTAAAGTATTAAAACATGGTTTTACTAACAGTTTTCAGTATGTTGTTACTTCGGCATTATTATTATTATTATTTTGAAACGTGTATTACTATTAAATCACGGTCAAATAGGTTAATTTTGACATAGTCGTTTCCACCACAGTATTTACATGGAGAAGATAAGCCCCGCCCCCTCTCCAGCACGTTCTGTTTGAATGACAGGAGTAAACAGCTGACAGCCGCTGTGAAACTCCAGCGGTTAGAGCGATGAGAATGTCCGTTCGGCACCTCATGACGCATCTACTGAGTACCGGGCGGCTGTATATATATATATGGATGTATAATAAGAACGGCGGGAGAGTGTTGAGTACTGGCACGGTGCATGAGTACCGGAGTACCGCCAGCATGCCGGTACTGAGCAAGAAGTGCCGGTACTCCATGGGTCAGAACCAGAAGTGCCGGTACTGCGTACCGGTGAGTACCGGCCCAATTCCAGCACTGCATAAATCACAGAGAGAAATGGCCTCTGTGATGACACTTTAATGATGAAGAATAGGCCAGAAAATGTGTGGATGTTTATGCATAATATATTTTCTATATAATATAGTATATTTTTTTATTGTATTCAAATGTATGTACAATTATTTCTATTTGATTTTGTTATATTTTTAACATTTGTATTATTATTTTTGAATAGCAAAAACTCATAAAGCTTAAGGGATAACATATTACATTACATTACATTTAGCTGACGCTTTTATCCAAAGCGACTTACAATAAGTGCGTTCGTCCAACAAAATACAACTTGAAGAAAACAGAATCATATAAGTACATCAGGTTTCATAGAGCAAAAACATTTCAAGTGCTACTCAACTGGCTTTAGATAAGCCAGTCCTTATTAGTATATAAGTGCTTCGTTAATAGTTCTATCGCTCGAAGTGGAGTCGAAAGAGATGAGTTTTCAGTTTGCGCCGGAAGATGTGTAAGCTATCTGCCGTCCTGATGTCAATGGGGAGCTCATTCCACCATCCTGGAGCCAGGACAGCAAACCCACGTGTTTTCGCCGTTGGGAACTTGGGTCCCCCTCGCAGCGAGGGCGCAGCGAGTCGTTTGGCTGATGCAGAGCGTAGTGCACGCGCTGGGGTGTACGGTTTAACCATGTCCTGGATGTACGAAGGGCCAGATCCATTCGCAGCATGGTAAGCAAGTACCAGTGTCTTGAAGTGGATTCTAGCAGTTACCGGAAGCCAGTGAAGGGAGCGGAGTGGTGTGGGAAAATTTAGGAAGGTTGAAGACCAGACGAGCCGCTGCATTCTGGATGAGCTGCAGAGGTCGGATAGCACATGCAGGTAGACCAGCCAGGAGGGAGTTGCAGTAGTCTAGGCGTGAGATGACGAGAGCCTGGACCAGAACCTGAGTCGCTTTCTGAGTCAGCTGGGGACGTATCCTCCTGATGTTGTAAAGCGTGTATCTGCAGCAACGGGTTGTAGCAGCGATGTTTGCAGTGAAGGACAGGTTGTTATCTAGGGTCACACCCAGATTCCTTGCAGTCTGAGTCGGAGAAACAACTGAGGTGCCGATGTTGATTGTTAGGTCAAGAGTGGGACAATCTTTTCCCGGAAGGAAGAGCAGCTCAGTCTTGTCACGGTTGAGTTTGAGGTGATGAGCAGACATCCACTGAGAGATGTCAGCTAGACAAGCAGAGATGCGTGCGACGACCTGGGTCTCTGAGCGGGGAAAGGACAGAATTAATTGGGTGTCATCAGCGTAGCAGTGGTAAGAAAAACATATTTAAGACAAATAAAGCTTTGTTGGAAAACGAGTGGATGTTTATGTTTTAATGTACATTATTATTATTATTATATTCAACATTTTAATATTCAGTGCTTTTGATCTTACTTTTTACTTTTCCATTATATTTACATATATTTGTTTTTATCTTAGTTTTCTCCTCCATTAACCATGGCATTATATCCATGTTTTTATGTGTATTAAGCTTTATTTTAAAAACACTTTGGGCTACAGTTCACCTTTAAAAGAGGCTTTACAAATTAAATGAATGATAATTAGTATGTTTTATGAATTTAAATATACAATAACTCTATTTGAAGTGAATAACTATCTACACTAATTAGGAAAAGAACATTTTTGAAACTCGGAGGACCAAACACAGTCCAGAAGATGGCACTAAAGCAGCAGTAAAGACAGCAGCTGCAAGTAGAAGAAGTTCTTCTTCCTCTGTGTGCTTTTGGACAGCTGTTTCTGTCCATTGACGGCCAGTCCACACTTCAGTTTTCTCTTTATAGATTTTTAAAACACATTTAATAAAGATGGCAGACGATCTGAGAGCAGAGCTGGAGAAATACCTGCAGACTTTAGACATCCAGACCTCCTGCGTGGAGCACCCACCGGTAAAAGCTCAAATGAATATTCCACACTAAACAAAACACCATTGAATCCTATCAGAAAAACCTCTCATTTAAAGTTGACTTGCTCACAATAACACGTGTTCAAAGACACTGCATGAGTCGTTATAATGCATACCTCTATTCGGCTTTATACAATACCTTACATTTCGCTTCCTATGGTAAAGGTTTAGCTCTGGAAGTGGTGTTTTTACCCTTCAACAATACGCTTTTTGACACGTGGACGCATTAAAAAGTTGTAATTTGTAGTAAAAAATGAATTGCATTGCCTGCTACTTGTATGCAGAATTCCCCACAAGATCAATTGAACCTGAAATGATGTGATTATTTTCTCCAATAATCATGTTATTGTGAGAAAAGATCAAGCTAAGGTAAAAAGTGATAGTTTTTTAAACGTAGTCTGGGTTGATACTATTTCTGCTCTTAAAATGAATCTGTGGAGTGGACATTCCTCATTATTTGTAGGCCGAATTGAACATCTGACCAGTCCAACCTTAAATAGTGTTAAGTAATTTATCCTTCAGTTATTTATTTGTGCAAAAATGATTAGAAAACTTAAAAGCGTTACTTTTTTGAGCGGAGTTTGGAATGACAAGCTTAAAACGTCACCTTCTCATTGTGTTGCCTGTGACTTGTAGGCTATGCCACATTTAGCATCAGAGAACTCTTTGCTAAAATAGGGTAACATGTTTGTGTCTTCAGTCGTTTTTTGTACTTAATGATGCTATAAACAAATAAACTATGTACGTTTTTGAAAGGAATCTGTGTGGAAAGTATTTTGCCCCGGCCCTTACCTGTAGCCTATGATGTGTTTACTGATCAATCGAGGCCGATTTGATATAGAATAGATTTAGCCGCTATCATTTAAAAAACGGAAACTGGGCTAAAGGCAAGATAAACGACTAGTAATTGACTCTTATATTAATACGTTTAGGCTACCACTAATTTCCTGACATTTCGGTTTTTAAATCTAACATTTTAAGTTGTATTAAACTTGTATTTTATGCATCTTGGTAGATGAATACTCCACGTGTGTAAACTACTGTGACATTTTTGTTGTTGTGCAGCCCTCGATTTTATGTTTCGAGAAGTAAATATGTTATGTTTACCCTGTCTGATTTGTTTATGCTGCATTAAACTGATACAGCCTGCAGGGGGCGCTAACGCATAACGCTTATTTCTGTCCTGCAGCTTCACATGTCAAACAATATAGGGTTATATATACAGTCTATGGGTTATACAAAAGTGTTCCATACATAACAGTTGATTTGTCCTGCAGGAAACTAGATTTTCATCTCATTTTCTAGTTCTCATACTGTTTTCTTATGATTCAAAACATTATTTCGTCATAATTAGACTTTACATAAATCCTTGAATTTAAAATAAATATCTCAGAAATGTCCATAATAATTTCCCCTAAAAACTCCCAAATAAAATATACAAGTGTTCAAATCTCAGAATTTGTAATAATTTATTTATCTTATATGCCTATAACACATTACGTGTGTTTTGTAAATGTGTTAAAACATCCTAATTCATTGTTAAAAAGTATAGTGCATGAACTGTGAATGTATTAAAACTTTTTTGAACTATTGTTAACCCCCCCACCCCCCAGGTGTTCACGGTGGAGGAGATGATGCCTCACCTGCAGGAAGTGAGCGGAGCCGTCACTAAGAACCTCTTCCTGAAGGACAAGAAGAAGAAAGGCCTGTGGCTGGTGTCGGCCCGCCATGACCGCCAGGTAACAACACACACACACACACACACACACACACTCACTCACTCACTCACTCACACATTTACTTGTACTATTTTATCTGTGTTATTGTGTTGCACTGTTGGAGGAGCCTGTGACCTTAGACTTTCATTGTCATAACTACACTGTAGCTATGCACACATGACAATAAAAGCCTTGAAAACTTGAAACACTCCTCCAGGTAGACTAACTCCTACACGTCCCATAATCCTCTCTGTTCCTCTGCAGGTGAACCTCAACGACCTCGCCAAGAAGCTCGGTGTCGGCAGCGGCAACCTGCGCTTCGCAGACGAGGCGATCATGTTGGAGAAACTCAAGGTGAGACGAGAAATGAATACAATTAACTTTAAAACCAATGTTAAATGACTGTGTCATTGTCATGTTTATATATATTTTTTAAATAAAAAATGGATGGCATCATTGTTGAGTCCATATTCTAGGGTATTGAATATTCAGTATTTATTAAGGTATAATATCTAGTGTTTGAGGCTTGAGCTTCAATCTCAGGATCCATGTATCTGTGATCCTCTCCAGAATGGAAGTAGTCATCACATACAGAGCATCAACTAGTTCCTGAACAGTGTCCTTCACATGCTGATATCCAAGAGAGGGAGTTACACAGTCACAAGATGGAGGAATAGAAAGCAGTATTCAATGTTTACTTCAGATTAGCTCCACGTCAGAAATGAGCATGCTTGTCATATGTCTATCTCCATAGAGGCTGAATCATCATGTTAATCACATAGCTATCATATGCCTCAAACAGTCCTGATGCTCTTCTAGGTAATCACACATCCTGTCATGTACAATCTAGGAATCCCAGTATGCTGATAACCCTGTTCTTTACTTACTGTCTTGATTCCCTCTCAGGTGGGTCAGGGCTGTGCGACGGCCCTCGCTCTGCTCTTCGACCGAGATCACAGTGTGAAGTTTGTCCTGGACCAGGACCTGGTGGAGGGGGGTCATGAGAGGGTCTTCTTCCACCCCATGACCAACAGCGCCACTATGGGGCTGCGACCCGAAGACCTGCTGCGCTTCCTCCAGGAGACGGGGCACGAGCCCGTCCTGCAGAGCTTCGACTAAACGGGTCTTAGGCATGGACATGATTTGGACATAAACATGGGTTAAGAAGACAACCCTGCAGACAAACATGAACTTATTCTTTTTAAAGATTTTACTTTTATCATTGTGAAAGAACACAAGGCATAATGTGTAAAATAGATGTACATGTTTGAAAAAGGTATATGCTGCGTTGAATGAATGTTATCTATGAACTGTTCAAGTTGCAAAAAATACTGTGCAGTAAAATATCTGAATACTTCAGGTGAAGTGATTTTTGTTGGTTTTCTGTCTATTCTTTTCCATAATAATGTCACGTCTAAGGAAGAGAGTTAGGGCCACATGACATGAATATGAATAAGAATATTTTTGGGGATGTGAAAAAAAATGTTTTGTTTTGGGAGAAAAGTCAGAATTCTAAGAAAAAAGTCAAAATATTTTTTTTTCACATCCCCACATTTCCTTTTTCATGTGGCCTTAATCCTCCTCCGTACCTGTCAGCCTATTGTTGGTGAGCATTTTATTTTAGCAAAACAATAATAATAAAGATCAATCCGTCAATAAACCTCAAATGTGTACTTAGATATGTTTATTTAGGATCCCCATTAGCTTTTGCTCTTGACAAAAGCTACTCTTCCGGGGTCCGACCATAAAACAATACAACAATAATACAACAACATTCACAGGATGTCCACGGGGTCTTAAAAAGTATTAAAAGTTGATAAATCAATTTAGCGAAAATGAAGGCTATTAAAAAGTATTAAACGGCATTTTCCAAGGTATTACGTTTTGTAGCTTGTTTTCAATAAGTATATAAATTGTCCAAAGAGGTTGTATTCTACCGTCTGCCTGAATGTAATCATGGCGTAGGTGTGTAGTGTGATTTTGTGTAGTTTATTGATGGCATCCCGTTGGGTTTGACGTCATCTGAACAGGACATCGCGCGCTCACTGCTTGATAGCGCGCGAAGGTCCGTTTACGCCGGTTGTTAAACAACATCGTTATGGGGAAATGCAAGTCTGCGTCCAAATGGTTGGAAGATAAGGAGGAAGGACAATCAATACTGTATAGTAAATGCGAGGTAAAGTGTGTCGCCAATGTAACCGGTTAAAACCATAGACTAGGTTACAACTCGAAGTGGCGATGTGGTCTTAAAATGTATGGAAAGGGTCTTAAAAAAGGTCTTAAAAGGTATTACATTTGACTTCAGGATTCCTGCATATACCCTGATTCAAGACATAAGTCCTGACATCATTAACATCATCATCACCAACATCTTCAACAATCTCATCCACTCAATATCAAACTCAGCCAAGGATGAGTGCACAAGACACCCACCAGGTAATCAAGTGGAAAGGAAAGGAATTAACCCGAAGCAAATATACAACTATTTTATTGGACTTCTATAATTAACTTTGACCTTCCTTGAAGTAAAAACGTATATGTATCATGTATTATTATATTTAAGTGTGTCTTAAGTATATACATATTATGTCCTTTTAATTTTCAGTTTTACTGTTGTATTGTTGCGTAATTTAAACTATATGAACATTATTTGGCTATTTGAAATGTGGATAAGCCTTTGAGGCTCAAGGAAAGAGCCCGCCTATTTGTAATATGGGAATTGTAGGATCTAATGTTTTTATTATATTGCCTCATTTAAAAAGAAATGTCATTATTTATCCTTTACTACATATATAAATATAATGTCAAATTACTTTTAAAATAAATAAATAGATACAACTGAGAATTATCGTAATAAAACGATAAAGTAATAAAAAACTTTTAAAAATAAATAATATTTATTATAGTAAGTAATTATGAAATTGTAGGATCCAGCGTTTTATAGACAAACAATCAGAATTTCTCTTTTGCTCCCTCTGTGTGTGCTCGTGTGTGTGGCCTAGCATTACTATACTTGTGGGGACCTAAATCTGTTTATAGTCACGTGTGGACTCGCCTCCCTTATGGGGACAAAATGGAGGTCCCCATGAGGGGAATCATTCATTTTAGGGTGAAGACTTGGTTAGGTTTAGGATTAGGATTAGGGTAAAGTTACGGGTAAGGGTTAGGGTTAGGCATGTGTTGGTTATGGTTAAGGTTAGGATAAATCTCCAGGAAATGCATGTAAGTCAATGTAATGTCCCCTGAAGTGATGTATACATGGTATGTGTGTTTGTGTTTGTGTGTGTGTGTGCAGGAGCGTGTGTGTGCGAGGCTCTCTGCATTCCTAATGAGTGTGTATTGTTGCATTGTTGTGTAAAATTAGCAAATGAATAAAACGTTACTGACTCAGTTCCCACGATGTGTGTGTGTGTGTGTGTGTGTGTGTGTGTGTGTGTGTGTGTGAGAGAGAGAGAGAGAATGTGTGTGTGTGTGTGTGTGTGTGTGTGTGTGTGTGTGTGTGTGTGTGTGAGAGAGCGTGTGTGTTTGCCCCTGTTATTGAACAAAGACATTTTGATGGGAAGAATCCTGTGTGGGAAAATGTATTCATCAGCTGCCTCTCTGCAGGCCACTTTTTAAATAATTGTTTATACTTCTGATGTTGAGGTGAGTTGAGGACACACATGTCATGTCAGCCTCAAGAAATGCAGATGAAATATATATATTTTATTTTTAATAACTAAGACCAGTCATGATTATTACAGAATATTCACTCATTTTCAAATGTTTAATTACAAGAAAATGGAAGAAAAGAAAATTCACTAAATAACCTTTTGGTCACTTCATTAAGTATTCAAAGTTTAATAGTTTTAATATATTATTTAAACTCAAAAAAAGTTTCTATATCTCTGTTTTATTTATATTAAATACATATATAATACTAGGTTGTTGACTGATTTGATTTTCAGATTATTTTCATACATTTTTATACTTTATTTTAAAACATTCAGACAGGTACTTAAAAAATACATACTAATAATTAATTAATAACAAAGAAAAATAATTATTGTATGAAAGTATAAGAACTAGTAAACTAATAATTGTTCTTCCTAGATATTTACTTGTACAATTAAGGGATAACATATGGCCTGTTCACAGTATTTATAATTTAAAAGCGACATAGTATTAATATTGTCTTTAGCTTTAAACTCACACAGGACATGGATTCAGTCTGACGGACGCTTCCCCTTTAAGAAGACCAGGAAGTGCATTGGAGTAAAAAGGGGGTGCGTCTCAAAGAGGGGAGGAGCTTAGTGAGGAAACAGGTGTGTGTGCTGACAGAGATGATGTCATTTCGTGGCTGAGTCACCTGGGAGACGGCTGGCTGTAGAGAGAAGCGTGAACAGAGATAAAGGAGGAGGTAGAGGAGAAGGAGCTTCATCACTCCTGTTTACTCCAAGAGGAAGAGGAGGAAGAGGAGGAGGAGAACGAGGCATTTGAATACTGCTGCTTATCAAGGTGAGAGATTACCGTTTATTCTTCATCCCCCACAAGGCCACCAAACTCCATTTAAACTGCTAATGTTAACTGCTTTGATTGTGGTCCAAACATAGAAATCACAGATATCATGGGTCACGTTTCTTTCAGTTCAGGCTTCCTTGTGAGTTCTGTGTGTACATTGTTTCTTTAAGATGTGCATTTGTTGTCTCTTGATAGTGAAAAACAATACTGTATATGTAAAACACCAAGAGACACTCTTCTTTTGCTCTCTGTGGCTGATCACTCTCACCAAACTCCATTCAAAAATCTGCACATTTTAAAGGGGCCCTGTTCTGCTCATTTTCAGGTTCAGTATGTAGTGTCTCTGTGACATGTCTCCATGTTTTAATGTTGAAAAAGCTCTTTATTTTTCTCATGCTGCCTGTGCTGCAGCACCTCTTTTCACCCTCTGTCTGAAACCAGAGCCCAGTCTGCTCTGCCTGCCGGCTCTGTTGTGATTGGTCAACCGCTTAGAGATGTCCCGCCCCTTAGCCTATCACGTACAATTTGTTGGAGCGCTAGCTAATACAAGCGCGAGTGTTACATAGTGATGTCACTATCCGTTGCGGAAGTAAACAAATCCAATGGTGTCGTTTCAGGGGGGGGGGGGGGGGGAGTGTGTGGGTCAGAAACAATTTGGAGGGAACACAGGGATGATAATACTTACTTTTACTTAAAGGTGGGGTAGGCCTATGTAATTTTGGAGAAACCAGCTCGAGAGCGCTAGAATTTGAAAATACACAACCGGAGAAAATCTGCCACTTCCTTACAGAGCCCCTCCTCCAACACACACGAACGCACACATGACCAATGAGGGCACGAGATGGGAGGCTGACAGGCAGGTAGGCCATCCAGTTACTTTAGCCGGGCCGGCTCAGATGATTGGTCGTGCTTTTTACAGCACTACGGCTTCCACAGATAAAAAAATTTCATGTATTTATTGTCAAAGCATTTAATATATTCATTGCTATCGGGATGTTGAGAGCATTCCATGGAATATAACAAAGTGTTTCTGAAAGAAATTACATACCCCACCTTTAAGTTACCTTTACAAAGCAGGTCCTTTACTTGTAAAACACACACTACGGCTTGTATCAGAGTATTTATCCCGTATGCTATTACTTTAACTTAAATAAAGGATCTGAGTACTTCTTCCAGCTCTGATATGTGTAAAAACATCCAGCAGACAGTATTTCCTGCAGCTGGTTTCGTGGTCAGTTTGGCTCCAGTTAGATGTCACTCCCTGTTTTTGGTTTGCTGTATTTCTGTGGATCTTGCAGACCCTGCATGTTTAGGTGTTTTGGTGGGAAACTGCATTTATTCTGGATTATTTAAGACATTTTGCTGCTTTTGCTTCATTTTAAGCTCTTCTTCTTGCAGTCATGTCCGTCCTCTGTGTTTTACTCTTGTTGCTATGACCTCTGACCCTTTTTGGTTTTTCTACTCGACACATTCTGTTGTCGGTGCTAAGCGAGCCCAAATCATTAGGTTTTAAATATAATCTAGAAAGTAAAAATAATAAGCAGAGGTAAAAGACAAAGTATAGCCGGTGGTAACAATTGGTCTTATTTACTGTTTACAATACATTACATTACATTTAGCTGACGCTTTGATCCAAAGCGACTTACAATAAGTGCATTCGACCAAGAAGATACAAACTTGAAGAAAACAGAATCATATAAGTACATCACGTTTCATAGAGCCACAACATTTCAAGTGCTACTCATAGCTTTAGTTAAGCAAGTCCTTTATTAGTATATAAGTGCTTTGATAGATTACATGACATGTTACTTGTTAGGCGCTTTCATCCAAAGCGACTTACATACTCAATACTGTGGGCAATCCCCACAGGAGCAATCTAGGGTGAAGCGTCTCAGGGACACAACGACATGCTGACTGGAGTGGGGTTTGAACCTGGGACCCCCTGATCCCAACGCACAACCCACTGCACCACACGCCAACTAAAGCTTTTAGATTAATAAAGTAGATTTTTAAAGCAGCATACAATGGAAAATGTACCAAAGTGCAGTACTTGAGAGTAAATGTATTATTTTTTAATTATTTGTTTGCCTTATCAGTGAGATGTAATGGTAAGTTAGGTTAATAAGTTTGAAGTGTTACAGGTGTCTTTGTGTGACAGACATACAGCAAACATTTGACTGGCTGAGTGTGTGTGTGTGTGTGTGTGTGTGTGTGTGTTTGTGGTACCATCATATGACTGGGAGGGTAAACAGTACAGATGTAATACTGAGGGTGATGTCATGCATGAAGTGGACATAGTGATAAGTAAACACACACACACACGGTAACTGTCTCATATATGCATGGTGTCACATGGCAGTTTAAGTGTTTAACCATTACATACAGTGTGATAAGGTGACAGGAACACACACACGTTTCTGGGAAAAGGACACAAGTGACATCACATTAAGGTATACAGACATTACCTTTTCTTTGTTCTCTTGACTCGACAAGTCATCTTTACCTCAAGCTAACATTGTTCGGTGTTCACTGAATTACGTTTTAGCAGACTTTAAAAAAAATATCTTAATATTGTCATCTTGGAGCCTCTGACACAAAGGTTAACCAAACATTTATTTTGAACAGGATTTAGACAGGATTTAGCTTTTCTTATTCTCACAGAATAATAACTCATGATACATAAAAAGTGTGAGTGATAATACATACTTGTATCCTGATTCACCGCAAAGATGTAAACGTGTCCTCCTCATAGGGGTCAAAATATTCTCATCATTAGTGTTTATTGTTTTCAACATTCTTTGGAAAATCAGCAGGAGTGAACTGGTTCACACACACACACACACACACACACACACACACATAGAGCTCTTTGTTTCTGTGGGCCAGTGAGCACGAATTGTCTGTTATATAACCATCAGAAAAACATCAAGCGGGATTTAATGATAAACTTCACTGAAAACGTCTACGTGTCTAACTACACTTTAAATATTTAATAAACCTTAATATTTAACAACAAATGTTCGAATTATGTTCAGAATAACAAGGAACTCAATAATTCATACCGCTACCTCACACATTTGAATGAAGAATGATTGTTTAATTTGATTGTTTGCCTAATAGACCTGAGTAATGACTACGATGGCCTCATGATCTCTTCTGTAGCGCCACCCTCAGGATAAACTTGGCACAGATGTTTTCAGGTGTTTTTAGACAGTTCTGTTGACTTTACCAGATAATGTCTGTTTTCTCAGACCCGTGATCAACGTCACCATGGCATACTTATATTACACTGCGGTGGAAATTCTCACCAGGGAGTAAAAATGGGCTGGACCTCTTTCCTCTGCTGGAAACTGTGAGAGATGCTGCTGCGTTTAATCTGGAAACAAAAACATTATTGATGTACATCAAACGTGACGCAGTGCCATCGTTGGTGCCCTTCCAGTGGAGAAAATATGATAAGAGTTTTAATGCCACATTAAGGGTGCCCTGCTCTGCTAGCTGGTGACCAACGGCATGCAGCTGGTTCGCTTATTATTTTTTAAGACCATTACATAAAACCGATAAAATTGTGAATCTGTATTTTAATCTGTGGATAGCATGGATTTCAGAGGTCAGAACATTATATTATTGTATATTTTCCTAGAACATCTGATAAGAATTGCATCAAAACTAAATGTTTTCTGACCAAACACATGTAACCTGAATCCCCCAGTCCAACACAACTAGATACATGTTTCTTTAGCTTCAATATAAATGACAATAAGTGTGGAGTCTGTCTGTAAAGCCAACTTTAGCCATGCAGTTTAATAGAAACCAGGCTGAGGAATGTTTGTGGTTCAGATCTTTTCTCCACCCAAACACTCTGTGAAGCTCCACATGAGACAAACTGCCTCTTCATGTTTTATTACATTTCATTAAACAGCATGCATTCATTTTTAACCACATTTTGACTTCGTGTCATTTCATGTTTATACTGTGTTTGTATAACCAGTGTTAGATGCGGGAGAACATCTATGACATTAACCACATATTATATGCAGGGGTGCACATAACTTTTTTGCCCTGGTTCTCAAAGGAGCACCTGGAGATGTTGCTTGGTGCTCATCCTTAAAATGAAATAAACCGTAACCTTTGAGGGGGTCTTGACTTTATTTGCCAGACACACGGCACTGAACACACATGCAGAGGTGAACACAGAACACACATGCAGAGGTGAACACAGAACACACATGCAGAGGTGAACACAGAACACACATGCAGAGGTGAACACAAGACAACATTAGTACGAGCAGTAATCCTACAAGCTGTCATCACTACCCTCCTGACTGTTCTCCTCACTGTCTTCCTCTCTGTCAGACATGGTAGCTGATGATGTAGGCCTACTTCTTTCTCTCTGGTTGAGTCTGCGATTAGATGCTTGCATCCACAATCAACAGCTGGGTTTGGGTCGAAAGTCTCTGTTGTCATCTTAGACAAGTGGATGTAATCAAATAAGTATGTGAACATAACCAATAACCTACCATAGCCAATAACAAATGAATGTAACTTATTTTATTTGTGTTGTTCATTCATCTTATTTACCTTAACATTTATTTATGCATTTTTTTTGTATCTCCAGTTTTAAAGGATATTTTTGGTTACTGTCCTATAGTATACATTGGAATGATTTAAAACCTGTTTATCCCAATAATTATAAAGGAGTGCCTTGGAAATATGTGTTTACATAAATTGCGACCAAACCGTTTGAACTTAGACTTTACCTCACTGAGCTGTAGTTATCAGTTTGGCTGGAGAGGACTCTCCCTCCACATTATTGTAGAAACATCTTCTTCTTATATCCGTTAGAGCAGCTAGCACGGCACCAGATTCTAATAACAACAGCGCTGGCCTGGTACCGGTGCACCCTCCCTCGCATTTTGGCTGTGAGCTGCGGGCGCCAGATAAGCCAACATCCCCCATTTTCATCACTTACAGCGCCCATCGTACAGGGCAAATGAAACGTGTAACCGGGGTGAAAAGGGTGTTACATTTACTTAATTGTGAATATTGTTACATCAAGGCCGAAAATTAGGATGAGCCCCAACGGTCAAAATGTTTTTTTCCCTCCCAGAACTGCCAGCGCAGCGCCTCCACAGATCTGGCGCCCTAGGCGAACATCTAGCCAGCGCTACGGGCCGACCCTGAGTTCATATCATGGTTCATACATGTATGCAACTCGCAAATATCTTTCTCTCTCTCTCTCTTCTCTCTCTCTCATCTCTCCTCTCTCCTCTATTTTCCCTTCTCTCTCTCTCCCTCTCCCTCTCTCAATGTTGGTACGCAAATGCGCTTTGTTTCAAATGACCCGGTGCTCTTTTTTTGGCGGAGGTGCGCATGCGCACCTGCGCACCAGTTATGTGCAGCCCTGATTATATGCATACTAAATGTTAAGCATTCATAAATTAAATCAAGGAAGCTAAAACATCTCCATTGTTTTGTGTATCACTGTTAGAGCTCTGATTAAAGTATAATTTGCAAGTATTTTGCTAATTAAACTCCTTTTCAGATGTTACTTATCCGCTGTGTGGCTGTATGAATACACAATACTGTGAATTGAATATGCTGTATTGTTTTATATCGGCTATGCATGCACAAGCGTGAGACTTTTTATCATTACATTTTTCATATAGTAAGGTTTAAATGGAGGCGTGTGTTAAAAATAAGTTTTGTACAAGAATACAAAATTACTTAAGGAGCATTATATAAATGATGATTTGTGGGTGAAGTATAGTCCTTAATTAAGTCAGAATCAAATATCTTCTGAATACTTCACGTGTAAATAAATAATGCATTTTGAATGACTTTTTGTGTATATGTGCATCATTTAGAGGTTTATTATAATTAACATGTTGATTAGATATAGAGTCCTCTCAGGGTGTTTTGTGGCAGGCTGCGGTGAGCTGTTCCTAATGTGATCAATAGCCTGATCAATACACACACACACACACACACACACACACACACACACACACACACACACACACACACACCTGCTGTTAAAGCACAACTTCAGCTCACAGGTTAACTCCTTAGTGACTTTTTTTGATTAGTATATTTTGCTGATGACTTATCTGTACGAAAATGCCTTATTTTATCAACATGTTTAATTCAGGACTAATGTCAGTATTTGTAGTTACCACTTAAGTGAAGAAACTGAACTTTTACTGCAGTTTAATGTATGAAACACACACACACAAACACACACGCACACACGTGTTGACGCACGCGCCCGTGCTCGCGCCCATCGCTGCAGGTAGTAGCCCCTCCCCCTCCTCCTCCGTGCTGCCGCTTTAAACACAATAACCGCCGCTTCTCCCGATCAACCGTCCTTAGGGCAGCCGGGATTCATGCTTTTTCTCCGGGGTACAACTCACAGGTGAGCCGCTTGTCAAACCGCCATGTTTTGAATTCATAGCTGTCGGTAGATTTGAAATGAGCAGCCGTTACTCCTCTCTCATCCAACCGGCGTAAGCTAATACTACGCTGTCGGTTACAAACACGTAGCCCGTAGTGACCGAAACACCAACCGAATTAGCCGTTTTTGTTTTTCTATCTTAATTATACGATTTCATATTCGGTTTAAGCCGGATTTGGGATGTTCTCCTGCCTTCATTGTTCTCCGTGAAGTTTGCTGGAAGTGATGTAATGCAGCCCGGTTCCTTTCTGCGTAGACCAAGCACCGTCTGCGCCAGACTCCGTTAAAAAAAAAAAAGAGCAGGATTTAGAGGCTCGACGCTTATTCATTCAGCAAACTGTTCACATGGAAGAAGGTAATTTAGCCTTTGTGTTTGATTCTGCGACAAGCATCATTTTATCTGAAATCTCATCTCCAAACTCATTTAGCTCCTGGTGTTCATCACTGTTTTGGAGCCAGGGGATAGTAGGGATAGCAGGCAATTTAGTTTTAAAGTGACACATTTCTTTCGGGAAAAGTGCTGTAAGGTGGCTAACCCCTACCGAACTGATACAATGTTCATGTGGGTGTGTAAAAGTAACTTATGGTGGAAAGTAACTAAGTACATTTACTCAAGTTTAATACTGAGAGTCGTGTAGTTTACTTGAGTATTGACATGTTTTGCTACTTGTACTTCGACCCCACTACAATTCAGAGGTAAATCTTGTAGTTTTACTCCACTACATGTATTTAATATCTTTAGATACTTAGTACATTTGGATTAATAATGTGATAACACTTTAATAAGAATTATTTACACCTGGAGTATTGACAATTTACCCTGCAGCATACAAACTAGCTGCACCTATACCAGCTTTGATAAACACTTTAATGCATCAATAATATATAATCAAAACATATAATGTAATATTCTGAAATGGGCCAATATGCATAATGAGTACTTTTAGTTCTGGTACTTTAAGTATATTTTGATGCTAATACTTTTTTTTTAACATTTTAAATGCAGAACTACTACCCATACCAGAGTATTCATAGACTCTACTTTTACTTAAGTACAAGATCGGAGTACTTTTCCCACCTCTGCTTATATATATATATTCTTTGGCAAAGTAACTTTAAAGTGTTAAATATGTGAAGAGTTTGGTGTGGTGGTAGAATGAGATGCTCATTCCTGTGTGGAGACTCAGTTCTGCTGTGGGTTGAGACTCAGACTTGGTTACTGAAAATTGTTAGTTGTGTAGTGTTACAACATGAATCATCAGTTCAAGTTTGGGTTTGTATTTCAAAAACAGCAGAGAGACTGTTATAAAATCCAGTAAAACCACATGGAGCTCCCTCTGGCTGCATAATGCAAACACTTAAAATGCAAAAATAAATGAATTCAGCGTGATGCATCGCTTGTCAGATAACGGCGTGCAGGCGCTGAGCTTTAATTTAAAGGCACATTATTCAGCAGTATTCATGGGAAAATAATGTGTTGAAAGCAGGAGGAGGAGCTTCTCCCAGTCTGCATGATTACTGGTTATTCACTTACTGGTGGAAGCTGCTGCTGGAGGAATGTGGCGAGAGTAAATTAGAACAATGCATTCACAACAGGGGGTGTGATGCAGGGGAAACAACTCTCAGGATTTAAACACTGAGAAAAAACAGAATTGTAGAGGTTTTAAAAATCCACATTTTAAATATGTTTGTCTACTAAGAAGTACATTTGAATGGTGTAGGTACCCAATCTGAAACTAATCATTTTGCAATGCTGCACATCTACACAAAACCGTTAATATTATTTTGTGTACAATTTCTTTTTAAAATTGGCAAATAAGCATACCAATTTTATATATGTAACAAGCAGCATTTATTTTTATTTTTTGTAGAACTTTGACTTCAGCAAAATGCACACATTTGAATTGTTTTTAATATATTTATTGTTAATTTATTTTCTACCTCTAATTAAGAAGATGTAAGAGCATTTTAAAGCAGTTTTAGTTCTGTCAAACCTTACTGGTTTAAGAATTACGTAAAATTCCAGATTTAAATGTTTTGTACGATAAACATACCTGGCAATAAAGTTGATTCTGAGAATTGTGGAAATGTATTGGTATTGGCTACTAAACTACTGCTATCATAACTTCCCTAATACACATTATAAATATTAAGTTTAGTATCTGGTTACCTCCACATTGTGTTGACTTTATGTGATTTGTTTTCACTGATTTAAGGATTCAAAGGTTTTTCTGTGACGTAAAAATCATAAGTCTTAGGCCCCTCCAACATTTAAGTCTGGCTCTAGTTCAGCGTGATATTTTTTTTTAGTAGCAAAACGACAAGACACTAAATCCTCCTTTCACTGGGTGGAAGACTTGATCTTGAAGTGCTCCACATTCCCAAATTCTCCAAGTTATTTTGGTTGCAGCTGTGAAGGACGGCTGTATATTCATGAGCTTTCCCTTTTTTTAGTCATTAGGACTCAAATCTTCCCCCCGACTCACTGCCAACGAGGTCAGCTTCTCTTCCTGCGCCCAGAAAGCTTCTTAGAAAATATTTCACTCTAGAGATGCTCTTGTGGAATAAATGCGATTTTAATTTAAAATCCTTAGGAAACAAAAAATAGGGGGATTTATCCTTCAATTCATGTCCATGCAGCGAAGGCTAAATGACCTAATTTTCTCTCTTTAGGATAATCCGCCATCACCTCTCACTATTGAGTGTTTTCCCCGTCACACACACTTCATTTTTAGAAGATATTGATGTGTATGTGATGGAATAAACAGATCCCTGCTTAACGTCCTGCAGGACAACTCAAATCCTTCTTTTCTTTAGTTTGAATACCCAACATTAAAGAGGCCTGATAGTGAGTTTACTGCGTCCCAATGCTGCGCTTATGTGATAACGGGGCAATACATTACTTGATGTAGTGTAGAAAACGATGTTTGTAATAATCGTATAACAACAATCTTGAAGGGACTTGAGAACTGGACGGTTATAGTCCCCGATCGGACCGAGTTCAGAGTGTGGACTGGTTGCCCCTCTTAGTCCACACTCATCAGCTCGAGATGTGCCGAGGTATCCTTTTATATATACTATATATACACGACTATACGAATATATATATATATAGTGCCCACAAATCCTAATGCTAGGATAGTTTAAATGCAGAGGCTCATGCAGTCATGTGTGAGGATTGAACATGGATTCAATTTGAATCCTTCATTTCCATTGCATGTAGATATCGATGCATTTGCCTTTTATGGCCAACTGTGGCTCTGAGTTAGATTGGTTGTCCACCAATTGTTAGGTCAGGGTTTTGATGCCCAGCCATTGAAGTCAACATGTTGATACTTCAGCCCAGGTGGCTCCTGATTGCATGGCCACAGCTGTGTGATATTGGTTTTCCTGAGTAGGTGGCACCTTGTATGGCAGCCTCTGTTTCAATGTGGTGTGAATGCAGAAATTAGGTTTTCTACAAATTGCCCAACACTCTAATGACAACAATGTGTGAAAAAGTGAATGAAGTCTGGCAGACCCTTTTGGATACATCAGTAATATGTCTGTCTACTGACTTCATCCCAGTGTTCCGAGTATATCTTGTACTATCTCAGCGTTCCAGTTAGTATTCCAGTGTTCTCAGTAGTATCCTAGTGTTTCTTGTACTATCTCAGCCTTCCAGTTAGTATTCAAGTGTTCTCAGTAGTATCCTAGTGTTTCTTGTACTATCTCAGCCTTCCAGTTAGTATTCAAGTGTTCTCAGTAGTATCCTAGTGTTTCTTGTACTATCTCAGCCTTCCAGTTAGTATTCAAGTGTTCTCAGTAGTATCCCAGTGTTTCTTGTACTATCTCAGCGTTCCTGTTACTATCTCAGTGTTCTCCGTAATATCTTGGCGCTCCCTTAAGAATCCCAGTGCCTCTTGTCTGCAGAGCGGCTGCACAGAGCGGCGCTGGTCCAGCCTGGCGCATTAGAGGTGATTATAGCACAGTTTGTGTGTGTCTGTAAAGCTGTTTTGTTACATAACCAATTTTATACAAAATGAGCCTCAGTGCTCACCAGGAGAGGAACTGATCCTGGCGCTCTGATTGGTCAGTGTGCTGCCGGGTACCCTTTAATATCCTTCAATTCAAAGGGCCAAAAGTAAAAAAAACATAACATTTTATAAACTATGAACCTAACTATTTTAGGAGGAAACTATGTTAGTGTGAATGTCACCATGGTCGATTTATCTAATCCTGCTGGCTCCATAAGCCCCTAACTGCCCCTCATTTGGTCTGAATCTTACACTTCTATTTCTCTCTAATTAACATTTCACTGGTGTTGATTCAACCTTGGGACCCTGATGTGTTTCTGTATTCTATAAAAAGCTGAAATCTTTTAGGAGAAAGACATTTTTCCTCCTCTCAGGCAGCTGGAAACAGCTTCTCCACGCTTCATAAATGTCATTAAGACCTTTTGTCTCCTTTAACACTTTCCACACCAGGATCCAAACCCTTACTGTGAGATGAGGAATAAAGAAACATATCTAGTTTTTATTCAGTTGGCTGCGTTTGTCTTCAGTGTTTTGGTTTTATTTTGACAATGAATGGATATATTTAATTCAAGTAAAGGCTGTGTACGGATGGTTGGTGAAATCTAGATACTTGAAGATGTCTACAGTAACTTTCTTAAATTACTTTAGTGTGGGTTTTATTGGTAGTAATTTGATTATTAGAGTTCTTGATTGTTGTTTTGACGAAGCAAGATGTGTGAAGTGCTTAAAGGTGGGGTAGGTAAGAATGGAGAAACCAGCTCGAGTGCGCTAGAATTTGAAAATACACAGCCGGTGTAGGTACCATATCGGCACGGCCTACCAGATTAGCACGGGGTCCGTTACGCTTACTAATGACTTCACGCATTGGCTGTACGGCAACCCAAGAGGACATTTTACACGGCCAAATTCCGCAAAGAATATTAAAAAATAACAATCGACAGTGAATGTATGTTAGTGGAACTGTGTCAGGAAAGTGAAGTGTTAATTAAGTAATGTTATTGAAGAACTCAAATGCATAAAATTGAAAGTTATTATGTATCATATCCCTCCAAAATGGTATCTGGTGTTTCCATAGCAACAACAACAACTTCCTGTCAACAGCGTAAACTCCCAGACAGTACACACGTTCATCCTCTGAACGTGTGTACTGTCTGTTCAAAAAACTGCAGGAACCCAGAACACAGACAAAAAAACATAACCCCCTTCACATCTCAACTATTGTAAAAGTTACGGCTCCCCGATGTGACCACAGTAGCAGTGATGATAACTGTATTAAGCAGGTGAAACAGGAGCTGTTGACAGGAAGTTGTTGTTGCTATGGAAACAACATATTTCGGAGGGATATGATACATATTAACTTTCAATTTTATGCATTTCAGTTCTTCAATAACATTACTTAATTATCACTTCACTTTCCTGACACAGTTCCACTAACATACATAACATAACATACATAACATTCACTGTCGATTGTTATTTTTTAATATTCTTTGCGGAATTTGGCCGTGTAAAATGTCCTTTGGCCGTACAGCCAATGCGTCATTAGTAAGCGTAACGGACCCCGTGCTAATCTGGTAGGCCGTGCAGATATGGTACCTACACCGGAACAATTCTGCCACTTCCTTACAGAGCCCCTCCTCCAACACACTGGCACGAGCACATGACCAATGAGGGCACGAGATAAGTTTGTGCACAGATGGAAGGCTGACAGGCAGGTAGGCCATCCAGTTACTTTAGCCGGGCCGGCTCAGATGATTGGTCGTGCTTTTTACAGCGCCACGGCTTCCACAGATGACATTTCTTTAATGGATTTTTTGTCAAAGCACTTAAGATATTCATTGCTATCGGGATGTTAAGAGCATTCCATGGAATATAACAAAAAGTGTATCTCGAGCCGGTTCCTCAAACTTACCCCACCTTTAAGATTCATACAACAGGTATATTTCTACAGTTATTTTTTACATTCTATGACTAACAATATAATGAACATCAATTATAATGAGGGTATTTTGTAGGACTAGCTGGCAACAGTGACTTTTTTTACTATGAATGCCCAACAGAAGTCATACATTTCAAAATATTTTATGACTCTGGATTGTTGGTCGGTCTACTAACCGAGGAATAAATACTAATAAATTCATTAAAAAAACTAAGTTGAGTCTACAGAAGCACTTTACGTCTCGGTCTTGACTCTGTTAGCATTCCACTTCTTGTTGATGATCTCTTTGTTGTGGTTGTTGACACAGAAAACGAACGACAAATAAACACGTTAAAGTCCTCTCTCTCAGGTATTCTCCTGCTGTTTTAAACTACAGACCTGCTACAATTAACAAGACAACACACACACACACACACACACACACACACACACACACACAGTTCTCTCTGTTATCTCTGCCGTGTGTGTGTTGCATGCATGTAGCAGCTGGTGTGTGTAAACTGCCCCGCCCCCTCGCCGACAGACGGGGAGAGAGATCTCTCGTTTGGATTGGAAAGATCGAAAAAACATCAGACGAATTTTTTGCAGTTGCAGTTGGCGACACTAAAACTGCAATATAATGTTTATGTAGCATAATACATATGACATATCTTTTTTAAATGTCTCCAGTACAGATAGAAAGACCGATAACGTCAGAGCTTAACGGTACCACGGTCTTTAATAATTCAGCCCCGGGGCCCGTTTAATACCGGGGCTCGGTACCCATCCCCACTTATCTTCCTGCAGCTCAATGTGACGCTCCTAAACGCTTGTTTCATCCAAAACTCAGTCACATTTTCCATCAGACTTTCGTCGCTAAAACATTCATAACATTTCATATAATTCTGTATTTAAAATTAGGGATGCACGATAATTATCGGCCCGAATTATGACGTCATCCCGATAAACCCGATACCAGTATTAATAGCCCCGATAATATACAATATATTTTTTGGGTAAAAAAAAAGAAAACATACTGCGGTGTGGATTGGGATGAGGGGCGCTTGTTTTTCACTCGGCTCCTCCCGGTTTGCCAGTACTGTGGTATTAGTGGTTTAGGAAGAGGGCAGTTCTTCACAAATCCAGCGCTCCCTAACTCATGCCTGGCTGTGACGTAAATGGTGTGCGGCCGTGAAGCCAGGACAGTAAACAAACATGTCGTCGGTGGTATGGGCGTTGGAGCTATGTGCAACTCAAGGCATATGCTCGAACCGGAGCTGCCTGGACGCTGCAATCATGTTGCGCACTATCCGTGCTGAGTGTGCTGACTTTTCGTACAATGTCCCACTGTCTGGCTTCCTGCATAAAGTCAAGTGCTCGGCGCAGTTGTGGCGAAATGTCGCTCCTCTGTTTTCATTTAAACAGCTCCTTATATCCGTTAGCGCAGCTAGCTAGCACCAGATGCGAACAACAACAATGCACGTAAGGTCTCTTTCTCGCTCGCTCGGGCCACACATACACACACCCTCCCGGTCCTCCCAACAGCCAGTCGGTGCCTGCCGGTGAGCGTGGAAGTGTGGTCTGCCACAAGCGGGCGGCAGGAGCGGGGCTGTCAGCATCAGCTTGTAGATGGTATTTTAAACTCGATGCTCTGAAACTACGGGGCGGCCGAGGAAAAAAAAATACACATGCGTTAATCGCGTTAAAATAATTAGTGGCGTAAACATTTTTTTATTATCGGTATCGGTCTTGAGAAGCAGGAAGGTATCGGTTTCAAAAAACCAATATCGTGCATCCCTAATTAAAATGTATCAAATGCTCTAAAATCAAACTTGGTGAACCCTTCAGAAACTTTAATGGAATATTTAAAACATTTACTATATTAAATAATATCTTTACATTTATTTGAATAACTATAAACTATGGAAAGACTTCAGTGAGAGGCACATTGTGACATTTGTTCTCTCTGTTCTCTGACACATGCAACATCATGTCTTGTCACACACACACACACACACACACACACACAGACACAGACACACACACACACAGACACAGACACAGACACACACCCACACACAGACAGTTTAATCCTGTGCAGACAGTCTGATCAGGCTAATCCCTACTCACCCCCCTCTGCTCTGACCGCCAGTTTACCTTACACACACACACACACACTTTCTTACTTCTCTTTCTCTCTGTTCATTCATGCATATGCGTACTTATTTATTTTTGACAGAAAATTAGGTTACATCCCCAAGTTCGAAAAGTTTTGAAAGCGTCTGACTCTGTCCTTGATGTTTACAAAGCATCATGGGAGTTGAGCCGGGTTGACAGCTTTACAAAAAGTCAGTTATATTTTTACGATTTTGTGTTCATGAGAAATGTTGGCGTGAATCATTTTGTGCACGCTGCGATTCTTTTTCTGAAGTAATTTAGATCAGACTAACCGTCCCTAACCCTGAACCCCCTGAGTCATAAAGAAACTGTTTTAGTAAACATGCATTGGTCTCACACACAAAGCTCAAGAGAACGGGAAGTGGCTTTTTTATTTCTTGATGTACTAATAAAGTTATTCTCTGTCTATTATGTTATTCTTATTTTCAGGTTGCATGCCCCCCTAGTCGGGGAAAGGCAGGGCATGCTTTGGTTGTTTAATTATTTGACTTGGAAACTCTATGAGTCCTTGAAAATGTTTTCCTTTTTGTTTTAAGCAGCAAAACAAGATTGTGCGATAACACAGTACATCAAGTTTTTTCTTTAACACCAATTTTGCAGGTTTTAGAATCTCAAAACATCCTGAAGACCTTTTTTCTGGCCTTCAATTAAAACCGTTGTTTGGCTCATCGGCACATAATGGAACATTAACAAATATAATTGTGGTTTTAAGTCTTTTTCAATGAGTTTTGTGACTTTGGTTCCAGGTCTCATTAATAGATTATTAGAAATGATTTGTATTAACATTGTTGTTATTTACAGATGCAAAGTGCTGGAACTTAGAAAGTGATACCTATTCTTTATGCAGTATTAAACATATCTTAAAATAGATGTTTGGTGAATACTCAAGAAAATATGATTGTGTGAAGTAGGGCTGCACGATATTGGAAAAAACTGACATTGCGATATTTTCTTCCTGCGATATGAAAACATACAGGAATTGAAGAAAAGACAGTTTTCTTTGTCCGCAAACCTTCCTTTCCTGAACTGTAATGCTCTACAATTGGTGTTTTTCTAACTATATTTAACCGGATGAAGGATTTTAGTCACGGATGTCTGGATTTTAAGTTCTCAGAGCAACACGCTGAGCTAGCTCGGTTATCCTGCTGTGGTTGGCTGTCACTCACTCAACACCCTGACACGAGAGCCGCGCGAGTTTTCCTTTTGTAGCAAGCAGCAAAAATAATTGTAACATGACGTGTTTGAGTTAATTTGCCTACTTAAAATCGCACGTCCTAAATAAAGTAAAAATAATTTTAAATTAAATAAATCGCACGTCCTGCGGTGTCAATATCGCGCATGCGCATAACGCGATTATCGTGCAGCCCTAGTGTGAAGGTAACTGCCAACAATTAAACTTGTTTCTCCTTCCTTCGTTCCTTCTTTCTTCTGCTTTTCACATCCTCTCATCTTCCCCTCTTCCTCCTCTTCCTCCTCTTCTCCTGCAGATCCTTCCTGATCCTGTGAGGATGAGTTGCAGTCACGGCTCAGCTGCACGTGTTGGCGTCTGAAAGCAGGGAAAAGGTCACCTGCAGCACGCCCAGGAACTGATCCTGGAAACTCTGAGAATAAAGCACCTTCTGGAATATTAACCGCTGACATTTCACGCTGAGGATATTTATAATTTTCTGAATTTTCCACGGAGGACTGGAGCTGAAACCTGAGACACTGCGGATTAGTTAAAGCCTACATTTTTTACCTGAGGAATTCATTTATATTTTTGGAGTTTAAATCTTTTTTCCTTGGAGTCTGCATCACATTTTAAAACTGACCTCTCCACGGTCGGAGGAAATGGCGACACGAGAACCGACAGCAGGCAGTTGACTCCTGCAGGGAGCGAGGCCGAGAGAAGAGCGTGAAGAAGAAGAGAGAGCGGGGAAAATGTCGTGGAAGAGGAACTATTTTGCGTCAGGTGGAGGTGGCGGAGGAGGAGTTAGCGCCGCTGGTGTTGGAGGTGTTACTGGTGGAGGGATGCAGGGCCTGCAGACGCCTCGCAGCATGACGTCCATCGCTCCCAGTAAAGGGCTGAGCAACGAGCCGGGACAGAACAGCTGCTTCTTGAACAGCGCCCTACAGGTACACACACACACACACACACACACACACACACACACACACACACACACACACACACACACACACACACACACACACACACACACACACACACACACACACACACCACACACACTGCTAACTGCTTTTGAACAAGGCCTGTACAATTTATAGTTTTTTTGTTATTGCAAGGTTCACTTTTACATATATATACCTTTGTCAAAGATGAAATGTCAGATACCAAATGACCTCCAAAAAGTAAAACAAATTATAAATTGACAATGAATATATAAAAACAAATATGATTGAATATTATTTAATAAAATACTTTATGTAAACTTTCCCAAACACATTGTGAAAGACTACAATATTGTTATACTGTTCTTTGATTAAGGAGAGCATCAATAGACAAACTGCAGTTTAAAATATCATTCCTATATATATTTGTTGGTGGTCTATTGGGTTGTTTTGTAAAAAACGGCAACACAAGTGCAGATTGAGGAAACTTTTATATTTTTGCCAAATACTATTATCTAACACATTTCAATCAAACACAAAAATGATACTGTTGCATCCCTTATTTACTTTGGTTAAATATATTACCAAATGTATTGATGATATGATATTAGGCTTTCCACATCCTCAAAGAGCTGCTAACGTGGCTGCAGACTGATGATGACTTGTGCATGAACGGTACGGCAGCGTCGCGTGCTTCAATGGAGACGCTTCCCATTCACTTTGAATGGGGTGACGTCAGGCTTTGCCGAACTGCATTGTGGTTCCGAACTTCCGTCGCTTCGAAAGTTGAGAAAAGTTCAACTTTTCAAGCTTCGACGGAAGCGTCAGCCAATCAAATCATATGCCAGTACATGTGCGAACCAATCAAACCGCGTGCTTGTGTGTCCGGGGCGGGAGATTAATGTGATTGGTAGTTGGTCGTGCGCCAGACACGCCCACCGGCAAGCTTGGATGTGTGGACGTACCGTAACAGTGTAAAGTGTACCCTGTGTTACTCGGCAGTACTGTGGCTCCACCGCAGTGCCTTTGAGCCAGACACATGACTCCACCATAACAACCTCCTCTGTACTTACATGAGCCTGTAATGAGCTGCAACACCTCCCACACTGCACATTAAGGACTCGTCAGCTTTCTAAGGAGGAGGTGTGCAGTCAGTAATTGTGGGAGCAGTAATTTACCCTGCAGGGTGGGGCTGCTGCTGCTGAACAGGAAACACTCATTACATCGTTTAACTGCAGCTCAGCAGCAACACACACATCAGTGTCTCCTGTCATCAGAAAAACACTTACGGTTGTGTTATCGTGCTGCAGCAGGAAGTGTTAGCGTTAGCACTTAGCAGGAACGTTAACCAGTTTGGGGGTGCAAGCTTAAAAAAGTAAAATATGATTTGTTATCAATATTAATTCAGTAGTTAAATGGATACAATATAAGTTTAGTGAGTATCAAAAATACACTTTCATAAACCATTTTATTTTGTATTAGTGCCTTTTGTGTTCACATCAGAGTCTGTTATCTAACGTTATTTAGTCTCTCCTTGAGTTGGACAAACACATTCTGGACTGTGTGTTTTGAGTGTGCTAAGATTTGTCTCTAACCTAAGAGAAAATAAATGATAAGAAAACATTGGATCACATAAATCAACACGTACTAATAAAAAAATAACAGAAACAAGAGGAAATTAGTTGTTAGTTTAGTTGATTCTAAAACTGTTTAAATCCAGTAAAAATACTGAACACATATTAGGAACAGTGTAAGAAAGGTAGACAAAATAACCAGTGAGAATCCCGGTCTCCACCTAGTTTTTGTGGGATTGTACGGGGATTAACCAATGAAACAAAGTGTGTGTGTGTGTGTGTAGAGGTGCCTCAGCAGGATCTGAACCCCCACCCCCTGAGCTCAGTGTACCGTAAGGACTTCCTCTGCTGTGATGGGTGCAGACGGGGGGTCTGTCCGTCCGTCTGCACCCATCACAGTTTCCCATCGTCAAAATCATGAGAAAGATGTGAGGCTGCAGGGCGAGTGGAGCGGAGGGTGAGGAGGCATCAGCTCCGACACTTGGTGGTAACAAGCAGCTGCTTACACGACTCCGTCCTCCTCATCCTCCCTGCTGCTCTCTGAGAGAAAACATCTAACTCTGATCATGAACATGAAGTGTTGCTGCTTCGTTGTGAAATGCTTAAAGAGCTTTAAAAGTTATTTTATGAAGTCGTCCTTGTTTTCCTGGTTCAAAGGGGGAACAAAATAACAATGTTAACAAAACTACAAAAAAACGTTTTTTCATTGTCTCACCACAGAGACAGATATCTGGAGAAATCACCTTAATAATAATATAATACATTTATTTTGGGGGGCGCCTTTCATAACACCCACGGACACCTTACAGGGTTACCTTGTGCTGTGTAAACCTATAGCAAGATTTGTTCTACATTTTTCTTTCATTGTATACACTACAATCAACTAAAAGCTGCTGTATGATTCATTAAAGTGTTCAGTATTTCTCTGGTACTGACTAGGGCCGCACGATATATCGTGTCGTGACGTTAATCGCGATATGCGCATGCGCGATATTCACCTCGCAGGACGTGCGTGTTTTAACTCAAACACGTCATGTTACAATTATTTTGCTGCTTGCTACAAAAGGAAAACTCGCACGGCTCTCATGGCAGGGGTCCTTGAGTTGATGACATGCAGGCTCTGCATGCACAGCCAACCACCAATCACAATCAAATCTCCAAAGCAAACGGACCCCGTGATCAAAGGTAAAAGCACTGAATAAAGTAGTTTCATGTGTTTCTCCAGGGCAGTTCGGCGCTGCTAACCGAGCTAGCTCAGCTTGCTGCTCTGATAACTTAAGATCCAGACGTCCGTGACTAAAATCCTTCATCCGGTTAAATATAGTTAGAAAAATACCAATTATATAGCATTAAAGTTCAAGAAAGGATGGTTTGCGGACAAAAACAACTCTATTCTTCAATTCCTGTATTTTTTCATATCGCAGGGGAAGAAAATCGCAATGTCAGTTTTTTCCAATATCGTGCAGCCCTAGTACTGACGGTTATTTACCTGCTGCGTCCTTCAGGAACAAACCAACATATTGGACCCGGTTGGGGGGTCAGGAAGGAGAAAACAAGCGCACCCACAGTGCTGACACCACAGTGTCCTGCGCTGAGGTCTCACCACATTCACACCTCACTGCTTCTTATCTAACACACCTTCTGTCATAGTGAGGAGGAAAGGTTCTTTACTCAGCCACCGTCTCGTTTCTTCCTGGCTCTTTTTTAAAACCCTTCTCATAAATAAAGAAATGAAAAATTCCTCCCTGTCTGGAGAGGATTTACAGGAGATATTGTTCTTAGAAGCTGCTGTAGAGCCAGACGTCTAAATACTCTGTGTTTTGGCGTAGAGCAACAGAATACAAATATGAGTGAGTGAAACACTGCAAGTTTATCAAGCATGGAAATGTAAAATAATAATTTGCAGATAGTGTTCTGAGGGTTACTGATCCTGTTATGTAGCGTCTGACGGCTCAGGTTGAGAAAAGCACCATTTGACCATTAAAGCAAGTAAACCTGTCGCAGTAGATGCACAACATTAAAATCTAAACTACCTTGAAAGTGCTGGAATCTGGCTCTAAAAAAGCTGGGGGGAAAATGTATTTTTAGTTCACAATTTATTGACATACCTTCTTTTAGGTGTAAATGTGAGTTCAAAGTGTGCGTTCAATTTGATCCCCACAATATTTAACTATATAAATGATGCTTGAAGGAAGGTTTTTAATGAGTTGCTTTTGCTGCAGCGTTGAGAACATTCTATTGTTTCTACTGTTAAATAACTCGGTTACCTCTAATCATTAACCCATGTTTATATAATGTAGTTAACTCCGTGTGTTGCTGCTAGCATACATAACACCTGACGTGGAAACGTTACTCGTGGACGGAGCTACAGAGCTGCTAGAAAGACAGGTACGAACCCGGTACATTTCCTAAGTCTGAATGTGGTAGCACTTTTGCATAAATCTTTAGACACATTTGCTCGTGTTACCGCACCTTCACATGCTGAACACTAAATTAAAAAAACATTGGAGAGGATTAGTTATATATATATATGATCGATGTGTGTGTGTGTGTGTGTGTGTGTGTGTGTGTGTGTGTGTGTGTGTGTGTGTGTGTGTGTGTGTGTGTGTGTGTGTGTGTGTGTGTGTGTGTGTGTGTGTGTGTGTGTGTGTGTGTGTGTGTGTGTGTGTGTGTGTGTGTGTGTGTGTGTGTGTGTGTGTGTGTGTGTGTGTGTGTGTGTGTGTGTGTGTGTGTGTGTGTGTGTGGTGTGTGTTTGTGTGTGTGTGTGTGTGTGTGTGTGTGTGTGTGTGTGTGTGTGTGTGTGTGTGTGTGTGTGTGTGTGTGTGTGTGTGTGTGTGTGTGTGTGTGTGTGTGTGTGTGTGTGTGTGTGTGTGTGTGTGTGTGTGTGTGTGTGTGTGTGTGTGTGTGTGTGTGTGTGTGTGTGTGTGTGTGTGTGTGTGTGTGTGTGTGTGTGTGTGTGTGTGTGTGTGTGGCCTCGCTGACAGACGGGGGAGAGAGATCTCTCGTTTGGAAAGATTGAAAATACATCAGACGAATTTTTTGCAGTTGCAGTTGGCGACACTAAAACTGCAATATAATGTTTATGTAGCATAATACATATGACATATCTTTTTTAAATGTCTCCAGTACAGATAGAAAGACCGATAACGTCAGAGCTTAACGGTACCACGGTCTTTAATAATTCAGCCCCGGGGCCCGTTTAATACCGGGGCTCGGTACCCATCCCCACTTATCTTCCTGCAGCTCAATGTGACGCTCCTAAACGCTTGTTTCATCCAAAACTCAGTCACATTTTCCATCAGACTTTCGTCGCTAAAACACTCATAACATTTCATATAATTCTGTATTAAAATGTATCAAATGCTCTTAAATCAAACTTGGTGAACCCTTCAGAAACCTAATGGAATATCTAAAACATTTACTATATTAAATAATATCTTTAAATGTATTTGAATAACTATAAACTATGGAAAGACTTCAGTGAGAGGCACATTGTGACATTTATTCTCTCTGACACATGCAACATCATGTCTTGTCTCACACACACACACACACTCTTTCATGTCTTGTGTTTTTGACAGCTCCTTTCGCTCTAACACACTCCTGACGTCACGTGACTTGAATTTTGAATTGAGCCATCCCTTATAGATACTATCTCTTTACGTATTAGTGATGGGATTTCCGGATCATTTGGCTTGGCTCTTTCGGCTCCCAAACGGCTCTTCATGTTACCACAGTTCACCACGGAGCCTCAGTTTCGCCGCTGCGAGGCTCCGGCGCTCGCAGTTCACGCTCGTGCTCCACTAGCACCGTCAAGGCTCGCCGGCAGTACACTTTCCGTCACAGGAACACGCTTTGCTGGCGTTGAAAATAATCCCACCAGACTCCTTTGCCCCTCCAACAGATGGATGTCCGTGTCCTTTTTGTCATTTCAAGCGATACAAACTCGATCTTCTCTCGATTTATAATTTTTTTTCAAATGACGGCAAGACGCCCCCCTGGCCGAAACGCTGGTTCTGCCTGTGTCTACAGCCTTTAAATCTTTATTTCATTGTCTTGTTGATATTGTGTCCTTCAGGTTCTGTGGCACCTCGATATCTTCAGACGTAGTTTCCGTCAGCTCACCATTCACAAGTGCATGGAGGACTCGTGCATTTTCTGTGCTCTGAAGGTGAGAATCCTTAAGACCCTTAAAACTGACCCCAGAGCAGCTTCCTGTTTCTAACTCCCTCTCTGTCTCTTTGTCTGTATCTTTAGAGCATCTTTGCCCAGTTTCAGTACAGCAGTGAGAAAGTATTACCGTCCGACGCTCTGCGCAGTGCGCTTGCCAAAACCTTCCAGGACGAGCAGAGGTTTCAGATGGGCATCATGGACGACGCTGCAGAGTGCTTTGTAAGACCACACTGTAAAATCACTCGGGGGTGAATTCTTTTGAAGGGTTGTGCATCCGCTTAACCTGCAAACATTTGACAAAAATACATTTCCTGTAACGGTACATTGAGGTGTTTTGGTGTAACCAGATGTAATGTTTCTGTTCCTGCAGGAGAACATCTTGATGAGGATTCACTTCCACATCTCAGACGAGACCAAAGAAGACATCTGCACCGCCCGACACTGCATCCCCCACCAGAAGTTCGCCATGATGCTTTATGAACAGGTGAGATGGAGACAGGTTAACCAACCATTGCATCATCATTACCCATTCATCTGGTTTTATACATCTATTAGTGTTACATCTCTATTTTCATCCCGTTTATTTTCCATATTGATTTTGATATAAAAACACTTTTTCAAGTTTAATTGTCAGATGTGATGTTAACCTGGTGTGTGTGTGTGTGTGTGTGTGTGTGTGTGTGTGTGTGTGTGTGTGTGTGTGTGCGTGTGTGTGTCTCAGTGTGTGTGCAGCAGCTGTGGAGCGTCCTCAGATCCTCTGCCCTTCATTCAAATGGTCCACTACATCTCCACCACCTCCCTGTGGTAAGTGTGTGTGTGTGTGACTATAAGTAGCTTTCATCTCAGAAGAAGTAAGTTGAGGCCACACATACACATTCCTGTCGCTAGGTTACATTTCGGGGTCACCAAGGCAACCCACTAATTGCTCTCTTCATCTTCACAGACGCACACACACAGAGGTGATTTGTTGGGATTGTGCTTTAACTCTTATTCACATTAGTGTTTTGTATACACACAGGAAGTGCGTCAACAATTGTGCAACCATAACAGAAAGGGGGAGGGGGTGTTGAAACGTTTGCCACCTTAATGTCAAGAGCTGTGGCTTTTTTCTGTGATTTGAATAGAAAAAAATAAATGACATGACTCAAAAGTGTCATAAACTGCAGCTATGAAAATCACATCTCTCCTCTTCCCTCTTCATCATCCTCCCTCCTTTTTCCACCTCTTTCCTCCATTCTCCATCCCTTCCTTGCCCGCCCCTCTTCTCCTCCCCCTCCTCAGTAACCAGGCAGTGAAGATGTTAGAGTCGAGGGAGAAAGCCACTCCTGGTATGTTTGGTGAGCTGCTGCGTAATGCCAGCATGGGAGACCTGCGCAGCTGTCCTGTAAGAAACACCACATTAAAAACACTACAATAAACACCAAAACAATACTCTTCACAGTTTGTTTTTTCCCACAGAAATAGAGAGGCGAAGTCCCGCCCATCTACTTCCGACCCATGGGACCTTATTTCGGAAAAATGATGTATTGAAGTCAATGGAGAGAGAAAAGTTATCTTTTGATCCCGTTTGAATTGTGCCACGAATTACACATATGATGTTTGTCACTTAAAAAATTATTTCCATGACAAAAAAGCCACAGTTTGTCGTAAAACTGTTGAAATATAAGACTATGAAAAATACGCAACTAGAAAGACTACAAATCCCAGAGTCCCGGTCCCGCATGCTGGCTCTTACGGAACCGACTAACTCCCCTTGTGTGTATGCACAGCTCTCAACATGCCCAGACTTGGAGTGATTTTCACCTCTTTTAATACTTTTTGCCTCATTCTGAAAGAAAGAAGTGAAATGTTTCAACGTGACGGCTGTCTTGGTGTGTGGTGTGAGACGGGAGATGTAGGTCATTGAGCGGTTCACACAAAAAGTGTTACTTCAGTTTTACGACACATTTTTTTTTTTTGACTTGCAAAATTATCTTTTAAATAAATTGACAAACAATCATATGTGTAATTCGTGGCACAATTCAAACGGGAAAATCGAAAGATAATCTTTTTCTCTCTCCATTGACCTTCAATACATACTTTTTTCCGAAATAAGGTCCCATGGAGGCCTCCCCCGGAAAGGGAGGGACTTCCGGCCTCTATATAACATAAAATAGGGACATACATGGAGATTCTTACTGCACCTGTTGTACATCAGGGTTAAATCATACATGCCCTCCTTGGAAACCAGAAGGACATACGATTTCCTTGAATGCTATCGGATTTCAGCATAACGTACTAACATTATCAACATATGAAAAACAGACATTATCACTATCACTCCCCTCATTGGCAACATGGTCGCACAATAACCTGAAACCATTATGAGAGTAAAGAACCAGTGATTTAAAAAACTGTGAAGAGTAAAGCACTGGTCTTACCAAGTATCGCTCCTCATCTCCTCCATACCTCTCCTCCTCCTCCTCACTACTCCTACTCCCTCCTCCTCCTCCTCCTGCTCCTCCTCCTCCTCCTCCTCCTGCTCAGAGGCTTGTGGCCAGCAGCTCCGTATCGCCCGGGTCCTCCTCAACAGTCCGGAGATCATCACATCGGCCTGGTTTGGGACTCGGAGCAGTCGGACCTGGCCGAGGACGTCATCCACACCCTGGGGACCTGCCTGCACCTCGGAGATGTACGGAGGACTTTGAACACCACACACACACACACACACACACACACACACATCGGAGCAGGAGATATTAATATGTGGTGCTTTAGAATTGTTGTTTTGTTTCCACCATTTTACTCTGTAGCACTTTGAGTTTTGTTTTCTCAAATGAAAAGTGTGCTTATAAATCAAATTGATTATTATTATAATATATTGAGATGAGGACGGGAGGCAAGGGAACGAGAGAGGAGACAGGGGAATGTATGCAGGCTTTTTAAACACACACAGCTGGAAACGAGAAGGAGTATTGAATGTATTCCATGTACTGGGACAAAGTAAATGAGGCAGAAAGAGGGAGGAGGAGAGAGGAGTAGGGAAAAGGTGGAAGTGGACTAGTTAGAGTGGGGAAGGAGGAGTGAAACAAGATCTGAATGCAAATAAAAATGATCAAGAACTGACTTGTGTTTTCAAAAAGGTGTATCAAATGTATTCAATGTAATGGGATGAATTCAATTTCTGATTCCTAAATCAGTCATTAAAGGTAGGGTAGGTAAGAATGGAGAAACCAGCTCGAGTGCGCTAGAATTTGAAAGTACACAACCGAAAAAAATCTGCCCCTTCCTTCAGACTTCCTCACAGAGCCCCTCCTCCAACACACACGAACGCGCACATGACCAATGAGGGCACGAGATAAGTTTGTGCACAGATGGAAGGCTGACAGGCAGGTAGGCCATCCAGTTACTTTAGCCGGGCCGGCTCAGATGATTGGTCGTGCTTTTTTACAGCGCCACGGCTTCCACAGATGACATTTTGTAATGTATTTATTGTCAAAGCATTTAATATATTCATTGCTATTGAGATGTTAAGAGCATTGCATGGAATATAACTGGTGTTTCTGAAGTGAATCACCTACCCCACCTTTAACACGTAGTGATAGCATTTTTCCTTCCTAAGCATTTAATAAAAAAATCATTTTAACAATCGCTTTAATAAAAATATGTGTCATCAAGGTTCAAGGCTTTTATTAGTCGTGTGCATAGCTACAGTTTAGTTATGACGATGAAAATCTTAGGTCACAGGCTCCTCCAACAGTGCAACACAATCAAACAGAAACACAGAAGAAAATAGTGCAAGTAAATACAAAAGGAAAAATAGTAAAAACGTGAAATAGTGCAAGTGATTGGAATGATATATTAGATAAAGCAGCCAGATTAATCAGTGTATAGAAATAAGAGAATATGCTTTGCGGCTTCACTGAACTCTTGCTCTCTCTGCAGTTGTTTTACAGGGTGACGGAGGAGAAGGCCCGTCAGTCGGAGCTCTACCTGGTCGGCATGGTGTGTTACTACGGGAAACATTACTCCACCTTCTTCTTCCAGACCAAGATCCGCCGATGGATGTACTTCGACGATGCACACGTCAAGGAGGTATGTTCACTCATGCAACGGGAATATAAACAGTACACTAATCAAGACATTTTGGGTGTCCTGGCAGCCTCGCTGTGGACAAATGAGGCACCGCTGTGAAGTTTAGTTTTAGATAGAGTTTCACTTAAGGAGGCTCAATAATAATACCCAAGTCTCCAAATTACTTAATGGTGCCCTATTATGCTCAGTATCAGGTTCATATCAGTATGTAGTGTCTCTACTGTGACATGTCTCCATGCTTTAAGTTCAAAACAGCTCTTTATTTCTCATACTCTTTTCACCCTCTGTCTGAAACCAGAGCCCAGTCTGCTCTGATTGGTTAGCTGGCTGGCTCTGTTGTGATCGGTCAACCGCTTAGAGATGTTCCCACCCCCTTAGCCTATCACGTACAATGTGTTGGAGCGCTAGCCAATAGAAGCTGTTACGTCCCGGCTCGTGGAAAGTGGAAAATAACATAACCAGTTGGAATTGATCAATTGAAAGTTGTTTTATTGAGAGTGCTCAATAAAGTTGGCAACAAACAGCCACAATCCAAAAACAAAAAGCCACAAATGTACCAGTTTAATAACAAACAACAAAAGGAACTAAGGGAGACTCTTTAAATAAGAGTTAATATAAACAAATAAATAACAATAAAATAACCTAAAGAAAAATCTCACTTCTAAAGTGGAATACAATAAGGAGGCTAACAAAAATAGACAGTCACCAAAACACAGCCTGGGTACAAGTTAACCTCCGTTAAACGTTTGTATTACAAGATAAACAGTGTTACAAGAACGAGCACAAATATACACACGACCTAGTTAACCACCGTTAACAGAACTAACACAGAATGTACGGAGAGAGTACGGAGAGACGTCTGCCACAGAAGCAGACCTCTCTCGACTAACACGGTGCACACAGTCTTGTAGCTGTCCGGAAGGAGAGTCGAGCCCGGCCTGCTCCAATCCAGACCTTCGGTCAAGCCTACCGGGGGGGGACAGGAAACCTGCATCCAAAGGCGTCTGGGCAATGGCACAGCTCATATACATATAACACACACAGCTGCAAACACTTACAGACAGGTTAATAGGCAGATAGAAGGCGGCGGCCGTAACAAAGCGCAAGTGTTACATACTGATGTCATTATGTTACAATAGTCCACAAAGGAGTGCACTTTGGGATTTCATCCTTTGCAGATATGTACATGCACAAAAACCTAAAGAACACACTACAGGAAAGGGGAAAACACTAAAAAATAATAATAGGGCCTTTTTAAAATCCAGACATCTCAATAAAGGGTTGATCTTGACAGCCCTTGTGGACGAAAGCGGTAATGTTGTAACGAATAGCAGCTGCCAGACTCCCTTTTTAGAATAATCTGATTTCACTGCAGCAGGGTGTGTTTGTGGTGTTCCATGGAAAGGAAATTCCCTCATGCTGTAGTCATATCTCTGTCTCTTCCTGTACCTCCTTCCACTCTTCCATTTTACTATTTTTTAAAATATTATTCTTGCCCTTTTAAAAATATTAGTGGAATGAGATATCACACTCCCTCACTCCCTCCATGTCCCTCTCTCTCTCCGCTGGTTGTGAAAACAAGGATATCCCCCTATTGTTGATCAGTCCAGCTGGATGGGACTGAGGGTGTGGTCAGAACACACACACACCACAGGCCTGACACTTTTGCTAACACATCTCTTTCTATCTCTTGCACTAACACACACATTTTCACACACGGTTTGACGAATGCCTCGGCGTTTTTTCAACTTCGGGACGTCCTGTTAGATCGGAGCAGATCTGAAGGCGATCGGGGACTTTTTTTTAGGTGGGGAAATGGAGGAAAGGTTGGAATAACAATCAGGAGGACTTCGGTTACGCTCACAGACAGAAATCAGGAAAACAACGTTGTTTTTTTTCTTCAAAACGGCCGTCACGCGTTTTACTGTTTTTCCTGCTGAGCTCTGTTTTCTGGACATTATTACTCCAGCTGGTAAACTCGCCAGCTACACTTGATGATTTGTTATGATACTTAACGTGGAAAGCTTTATATATAAAGGAGGATGTCAGCTATTTCTAAACATATGACAGTAGTAGGGCTGAGTGTGGGTACTTTGAATCCTTTACTGAATTACATTTAAAAGTTGGTTATAAATACCCAAGATTCAAATAATTAATTGAGATTTAAAAAGCAAAATCTTCAAAACTGCATTTACCTGAAAATGTAAGAGCATTAAATGAATAGTTTCAAGCTTCCTACATATCGGTGTTTATTTAGCATTTCCTCAGCTTCTGATTCATCCTCATGTTATTGTCACTTTCTGCAGATTGGCCCCAAGTGGAAGGACGTGGTTTCCCGCTGCATTAAGGGCCACTACCAGCCCCTGCTGCTGCTGTACGCCGACCCGAGGGGAACGCCGGTATCCGTCCAGGACCCTTCCCTCTCGACTCGACCTCCGTCACCTCAACAAGGCCGGCTACGGACAGCGAGGACTCGGGTAACTACAAACACAGCTAGGAGTCGTAGTAGTAGCACAACAGCAAACGTTCAGGTAACTAAACCGGAAACGGTAGCACTTGTTGTAGTCGTAGTTGCACTATGACAGACAACACTGAGGTAACTAAAAGACAGCTAATGCACACGTAGTTATAGAAGTCGAGTTCAGGTGGCTGATGTTAGACAGAATTATGGTTTTGCCATTAAAAAAATGAACCTTTGGGGTTTTTACTGATGTATTTTATGGTCGAGAACAAAAGGTTAAAATCTCTTTAGCTTGTGTTAGCCACCGATGTTATTTCAGGCTACCAACCAAACGAGAAGTGCTAAACAGCTGAGTCATGTCAGGGTTTCAGGACTAATTTTCCTGCATTGCTAACACTATGGTGTGTTCAGGCTCTTTTGATCTAAAATAAGTATCGGTAAGTAAGGTTAAATTACACTTTATTGTCATGTGGTCCACTTCCTTTATCATGTGATCCACTTCCTAACAGACCAGTTTGCAAACGTTCACTAGTAACGTTTCACTAGTATTGATATCGTCCACAAAATGTCAGGTATCGTGACATCGCTAGTCTGATGTGATGCATATTTATGTGTGTGTTAGTGTACGTGAATTACATCACTGACGGCCCCACTAGTTTACTTAACCCCCCTCCCCCTCCTCAGGCCGTGAGCAGTCGATCTCCAGCGACACTCGCACCGACCTCGTCGACTGAGGAGCTATTCGTGTCGACAGCCCTCCGTCTCGCACCATGAGTCCCTGGTCTCTCACTTCTCCTCTGACTCCCAGGGAACCATCATCGAGAGCCCCCCCCCCGGACCCCTGCACACCTCTCTCTGCAGCC